CGGTACTCTACTGAAGTTGAGGGGCAAGAAATGAAAAATTTCTGGCGGTTCGTCTGCCAGAGGGATACTTAACGGAGGGTTCGCCTGTCACTGCCATCCAAATGGTCAGGTCCATGACCACTAAAGAAACTCGAAAAAATTTTTTTCGCTGAAACCTCTTAAACAGGGGTAATCAATGGCCCTGATCACGATTCTGACAATTATTTATGGCGCCGACGTGATCTGGGGCCAGCGTGGCGCTAAAAGGCCACTGCGAGCGCGAAGGGATGCTGCATAAGCCCCTAAAGAAATTGCAGTGTACCTCACTGTATGCCAAGTAAGGCACTTGTATTTCGACCTTATTCAATAGCGTTTAGCAAAAATGAAACCCATCTGTGTGGTCCTTGTATGGACCCCTACAACATGCAACAAATCGTTTTGAAAAAGCTCACCACGGCCTGAACGACCTCCCTTGTTAGCGAAATATTGGTGGTCTTGAACTTGGAGCCGAAACTCTTAAGCGCATTTTTATGAATGCAGGTGAGAAGCTGCCCGAATTCTGTTACGAGGAGTTAAGTGGGTTCAAGCGAATGACCATCAGGGCCATGGATTTCTTCACTGTCTTTTGAGGTCACGAAATGGCTCCCTAGATGGGTTCAAACGTCGACAAGAAGTAACAAATATGTCTCCCCTGTCGCCAAACTGTCCCCTTCCACGTTTTCAAACGAGATGACCCAATAGGTTTCCATCAAAATTGCACACAACACACCTCGAAATACGCCTGCCTGCATCTCAAACTGAGGTAGGGAAAAAAGCTAGAATTCTCTCCAAAAACTCACATTTCGCGTGAAAGTTTCATCAAATCCACCATTGTCGACGAGTCCATAGAGTCGCTTATTGGAATGAGTTCTCCAAACCGTAGTCTACAAAGGAAATTGTCAAATGCAAAGAAGAAGGTGCTCACACACGGCATAAGGCCGGTCCAATTGAATTCATGAGCGAGAACATGCGCATAGAATTAAAAAAAAACTGAGCGCTAGGAAACCAAATGGCAATGCGTTAGTGAAGCACAGTTCCATTCTTCTTTCAACTTACCATTTCTTCGAAATAGAAGCAGGGTCAAGGCATCATGTTGAGGAAAACGTTGGTCCATCGATACGACCTACCACAAATAAGAGTGGCCGTACGACCCCGCTTGGCTACGCAACTACTCGGCTGAATTTGGTACTACTGGACGTCCCCAAGACTGGCATTCTCATTTTGAAGGTCTTGGCTTCTAAGTGGAACATGGAAGACAAAAGTATCGAATTCCACCTCCAAC